TATTTATAGATATAAATATATATGTATATAAATTAAAACTCTGATGAACCAGATTCTACAAAAACATTACATTTAAATTTTTATAGGTTTTCATCATCATTTGATGTATTTGCACTCATTGTGTCTACTTTTAATGTTCATCTTAAATGTGTGGTTTTCTTTCTTGTTCACATATAAACATTTTATTTTTAGCTTTGCTTTAAAGTTCTTGTTTTGTGATTTGTACATTTGTGGGTTAAAATAAAGTTGAACTGAAGGTCGTCTCTTCTTTAAACATGTTTGAGGGAAATATTCCTGAGATCCAATAGTTTTGTGTCTTTTTATGATTTTCAGCTGAGTTAACAGTCATTAAAGTGAAAACAGGATTTCATGATAAAGCTGTCACCGTTTATTTTATTTTTAATCTTCAACGCTCTGCTGGTCTCGCACGACACTGCCCGCAGTCATACGATCCTCTCCTCCGGAGAAGAGGAGACTGGGAGGCTCATCCTCCCAGCTCCAGCTCAGCTGGTGACTCCAGAGGCTGTTCCAAGACTCCAGCCGCACGTAATCATGAAGGTCCGACCCGCGCAGACAGGCGGACAGAGACGGGTCTGCGACGAACGGTGGAAGCGATTTTAAAAAACATTTTACGTGTAAAAAAATAATAATCATTTTTAAATCGCTTCAGCATTTTTTTTAAAACATTTTTTGTATAAAAACAAAATATTATTTTATTTAAAAATCGCTTCCAGCGTCCGTCCCAGACTGTCCAGTCCGCCTGACTGCCGTGTGGGATCAGGATTCAGCCTTCATGATTACGCGCGGCCGGGGTCTGGCAACGTCCATCTGCGAGTCCCCATCTCCAGATTCGCAGTGACCTGCGGAGCTCTGAGCTCCGAGTCGGCACATCGAAGGATCTTCCACGGTGACCAGCTGAACTTGGAGCCGGGGAGATGACGCCCTGCCCGGTCTGGAGCTCCGAGGCTCCGGAGGGAGGATCGGGGTAGACCAGCAGAGCTCCATCCAGCTTGCTCTG